TGAAAGGGCATGAATGGCTTGTTTGATGGAAGACTATGCTACGGGTGAACCGTTGTATGTGTGAATGATCCCCGATACAGACCTCCTGTCCCGTTCATCGCCGGCAAAGTCAGCATCGGAGAAGCTGAGTAAAGATGAGTCTTGTTTTTGCTTTGGTTCCGGGTGTCCGGCGGATGGCAGGCCGTTGGGGGTAATGCAGGCAGGGAAGTGGATTCCGTGCGACCGTGTAGATTTCAGGTAACGCACGAGGCGCTTGAGTAGGTTCCAATGCCGTTTCGTCAAACACGTACCGGCAGCGGCCAGACGGTTGGCGGCAAAGTATATATCTGGCCTTGTCGAGTCGGCTACATAACGGATATCGCCGAGCACTTGTTGGAATAAATTTTGCTGTGATGGGTACTCAGTGTCTTCCGGTGTCGGGCCGTGATATTTCACTCCGTCTATGTACGGCGTGTCTTTGCCGGCGGCCTCACTGAGTCGGATGCGGTGGATAATGCGCTCAATATAGTCTGGCTGGGAGACATGGAAGGATCCGTCTTTGAGTTTTTGATGGTCCAGCCTAGGAAGCGGGTGGGGGTGCCAAGCCTTTTCACTGCGTACTTCTGAGAAATATCAGAGTAGACTTGTTCAAGTGCATCTTTGCTGTTGGATGCAGCGTAAAAATCATCGACGCTTATGCTCAGAAACACAACCACATTTGCGCTGTGACGCGTGAATAAACACGGTTCTGACTGAGATTGCTTGTAATTCTTGGCTTTGAGGAATTCAAAGACCGCTTTCAGGTAGGTGTTGCCTGAGTTCTTACCGCCATATAGATTGCCTTGAAGTAATCCACCTGTGCAAGGGTGCTTGAACGTTCCGTTGAAGCGGGGATATTGCTTCACATAAACCTTTTTGTCGTGCCTGTACTTTTCGTGTAGATAGGCACCTTCAATGTCAAGGTGCTCTACATGCAGCTGATGTGCGGCTGCAATTGCAAGGAGCAGGCGAATTGCTGTCTTATCTGCTGTATACGAGGTCGTGGTGTCGGGATCATAATGTATGTGTGGTAGCATCTTGTCTCCACGAACGCTGCACCTCGCCTTTCTTCTTATTAACTTCCCATCCGCATCTCTTTTGTATCTGTAACCCATCGTGAGGGGCAGTAATCTGACTCGCTTAGGCAACTCCGCATCAGGCACCCATTGAATGCATTTCATGTTATCAAGTTGATCAAGTTCTGCATTGTGCGCCTTACGCCATGCCTTCGAGTCAGGGTATTTGCGGGCTTGGCTGGGGTGTAAGGGAGGTGGGGTGGTGGCCATGATTTGGTGTGGGGTTGCGTGTGGGGTGAACGACTTGAAAACTACGGCATGCGTGGCAGACGGATCTCGCGACTTGAGGTATGGGCGGAAGTCGACGGCGCGGACCCTCGCTATGTTGCCGGTGTGCAAGTTTTGTACAACGACTACGGTGAGGCTTTCTGCGTAGAGGTACCGCACCGGGTGCGCGCGGTCATCAAGCTTAGTTAGGCGGGAGCGGTCTGTTTGCACTGGGACGCTGCCCACTTGACCGAACACGAATAGTGGCGTTTTTGGGGGCGCTTCGCCATGCCAAGACGTCCATGGCAGTTCATTCGTGAAGCTGTGCAGTGTGAGGTTGTACTTAAATGCTGCGTCACGCACGGCGTCCTCCCAGTGATATGGTGGCAGCCTGCTGTGGGCTAACGCTGCCCTGGCTGCCATGAAGAGAGTCGAGTTAATACGCTCTGCAATGCCGTTCATTTGCGGGGAATAGGGGATGGTTGCCAGATGACGAAGGTTGTGCTTGTCATATAACTCTTTTGAGTCTGAGCTCAGGTACTCCTTGGCATTGTCGGTAAGAAGGATTTGGGGATTTCGTCCATAGGACCGGCGGATACTGCCAAGGACGAAGTCGATGCGTCTTGATAGTTGTTGGCGGTTGGGTAGGAAATCCAGAATAAGATACCGGGACCGTGAATCTATGAATGTTATTACATACTTGTTTTCCTGCCTAGATTGGGGGGACACTGGCCCGCAGATGTCGCTGCTAAGGGCGATTCCAACTGCATATCTATGCGTTTTGGGCTTGTGGGGGCGTGGTTTTTGTTTTCCTACAGCGCAGCCTGAGCACGATAGGCTCGAGGGCATCTCGAGGAGTTCATTGGGAAGTGGCAGAAGCTGCCGTTTTGCCATTGTGTGCAGCGTCGTGGGTCTGGTGTGGTTAAAGACGAGGTGCATGTGATGGTAAGCGGTTTCAATTTCTGTAGGGGCGTGTTCTGAGGGATCTTGGTTCGAGACGTCCATGAGTCGAAGCTTGGGTGTCGGCGTACTGATGCGCATGTGCGGTGCAACGGCAAATTGTTTACTTGCCTTGCGAGCGCTAGCTGTGTGCTTCTTTGCCGTGGGTCTGCGGTTCGACTTGACGGTTTTGCGAGAATCGCGCCTCACTGGCACTGTTCTGGCCGCGAGTGTCTGGCCGATGTGGGGCGGATCGAAGCGGTAAAGTCCATTGCAGTACGTGGCGGTGCCAATAATACGCTGCATGGACGGGTATTGTGTGCTGATGATGAAAGCCTGTTGGGGTGTGAAGGTGACTTGTCCATATGCTGCAGCAATGTGATGGACCGAGAGAAGGTTGTCTCTTAGCTCCGGGTTGGCGATGGCGGGCAGTTGCATCAGCACATTACTGCTCGTCGGAATCTGGATTAGACCAGAGTGGGTTGCGGCAGTTGAAGTGTTAGTCGCGGTGTGCGTGTGCATGGGATATGTGACCGGGCGCACCCCCGGGTGAGGTGATCGCACGTGGGAGGGGTGGGCACCCGAATCTAGGGCATACGTACCATGGTCGTCACCATCCGTGTCAACTTGTTGGTTGAGGTGCGCTTCGAGGGCGCGTAGGGCATCGCTCCCGTCTTCGGCCTGGGCCGCTGCAGCCCGCTTCTTGCTGCGGTCCCGGGGCCTCTGAGCGGGGCCGGCAGCACGAGGGGGCTGCGGCGGCATCATCATAACCGTGTACGGTTGCGGGGTGGGGGCCGCATACGGCAGGTGCATGCCATGCGTCGCGGGAGGGTAGTATGAAGGGTGACCGTAGGGGGGTGCGGCTATGGCAGGGTCGGGGGCTGCCTGCGCAGTAGGAACAGGCGCTGGCGTGATGGGTGGTGTGATCTGGGCGGGGTGTGGAGCAGATGGGGATGCTTCGTCGCCGGGTTCGGGGTGAGATATGGTGGATGCATTGGAGTGGCGGAGGCGGGCTCGACTGGGTCGGCGGGCGCTCGACGCTTATGTCCGGGGATCTGCGCGTTGGCGTAGCGGGAAGGGGGGCGAGTTGGGCGTGTGGACGCACGCCTGGCTACTTCCAGAGAAGGGGAGGTGGTGGGAATGTTGACGTCGTTGCGCAGCGGGAGCTGCAGTGGCCCATAACCTGTGACGATGGAGTTCAACGAGTGCCTAGACTTTTACTCAGAGTTAGTGGTCGCCCTAGGCCTAGGTCTATCCGGTGCTGGGCGTACCGCCGGCGGGGGTGCCTACAGCTGTGTTACGTGTACACCTGGATGGTGACACAGCTCTGTAGATCATGACACTCGTGGAATTACTCAATTCGGCACTATTGGGCGAGTCCTCTCTGTACTGTAATAATAATTCCTGGATCCTTATTGGTCGCGTAGAGAGGTTTCCAGCAAGGTGTCGGTCTTTCGACATGGTTATGAGGAAAGCCCATAAACGGCGAGGAGGGGAGGTGGCGTATACAGAGTAGGGGAGTATGGGTGTATGGGAGTATGGGTGTATGGGTGTACAGTATGGGATTATGGGTGTATGGGATGATGGGTGTGTATTTAATTTGGCGCACTGTACTGTACCTTGATGCGATGTGGTTGGTCCTATTTTGTCCAGATTTGTACTTTTCGAGAAGGGTACCTACCCTTGGGTACTAATAGATTAACCGTTTTTGAAACGGCGTCAACCCGCAAAGCCAGTATTTTCGAGGGAAGTGGCTGAACTCGAAAAAACGAGCCATGTGCCGTTTTTGCGCGTTAATCCCATTTATTTTTTTGTGGAAACTCTCTACAGTATTGCGTGGGCCCCGATTCGCCCATTGATGAGAACACTGGCGCCACATCAATACAGTTTCCTTTCATGTGTTGAATAACGTTGTCCGTAAAATAACGCGTTGTTTTTTTCCATTTGCCCGCAAACTCGCTGGACGTAGAGTAAACCCGAGTTTGAAAAATCCCACCTCGACTTTTGCGGACTGACCTCCAGCAAGGTACCTGCCCGCAACAAACGGAAGTCTAGTACCTCGTTGTGCCGCCCGACGGATCACGTGCACCTGCGCGAACACTCGCTGTAGTGAATATTGTAGCTCGCCACAAGGATAGAAAGGTTCTCAGTCGAAAGGGCGATGTGTTTCGCCTTCTTGACAGGCTGAGGGGGGAAGTTTAGAGAGGATCGCTTTTTAGAAGCTTCTACTTGTCTTACTTGTCTTTCTTTCGCGGTTGCTTCGGCGGCATCTGGGGCAGATCCTGTCGCGCTTTGATCCATTGATGGACTCTGCGCAGATGAAGCGATAGGGGCGTCCATGACGCATATCGATACGACCCTTGCAGTCTGAGACTCGTTTGTGCTGATGAAAAGAACGGAAGACCCACTTCGTTTTTCTTCACGACGGGTCGATCCGGCACTGCTGTGATCAGGCGGATGTGAAACTCGTGGAAAACTCACATGCCCCCAGTTTTCAGTATGCTGTGAGTTTTGCCAAACGCGTTATTTGAAAAAATTTGCGTTCAGAAAATCCGAGGAAACTCGCCGCCAAAACACGCGTTTTCGTCACTTTACCGACAACGATAATGTACCCTTTAAAGGGTTTGAACGCACTGCACCCTCGCATAACATATCATGCCGTTGTTTCAGCCCCCTTTTTTCAGCTGCAACTCTAGGACGGAGGAGCTGCCAACAAACACGCACAGCTCGCTCTCTTATGCTTTGCGACATGGGGAGAAATTGTTGACGTAGGGCGAATGGTTTAATTACAGGGTTGGAAGACTCGGTGGCAGCGCTGTGCATGTATGAAGATTGCTCCACTTCATCCCCCGGAGACCCGTTTCCATTACGTTAATTATTAGCCAGTTTTGTGCCTTGCAACAACGGAACTACCTGCTTTTGCCTCTTTCGCACTCGGACACCTTTTGCTTTCGGAGGCTTGGGTTTCTCGGACTTGACAGACTGCCTTGTGCTATTTGACTGCCTGGCTCGCCTCCCAATAAGGGCACGAGGCTTGGATGCGTGTTGAAGCTCTGCCCGCTGCTTTTGGATTTTCTTCACATCCCCCTCCGCATCCGCATCCCTTCGTGACTGGAACACCTCTGAAACTACCGTACCGTCATCGCTAAACTGTGATGTGGACAGTAATTGGTTGTCTGATGCTTCCTTGTTTGAGGCTTCCGAGTGTGTCGAAACGGTTTCCGTACTAATGCTACGCACTTTTTCAGGTGCTTCCTCCACTTTCATAGCTTGAAGCTTCTTCTTCTTTGAAAGTTCAGCCTGCACTTGTAGACGTCGTTGTCGCAATCGCTCCTGTTCTTGTTGACGTTCCAGATCCGTTAGAGGGCGATCACCGTTGCTTTTCTCGCGTTTGGTTGTAGATGCCCCTTGCTTCGGTGGGCGTGCGGAGGACACGCTCATGCCTGGCACTTGCTGTTTGATGTTCACGATGGACGACTCCGAGGGGAGCGCATGCGCCGGTTGCGTGGAGAGATTGGTGTCTGTAGATACCTCTCGTGTGCTGTTCAGGGACAGTGGGTTTGGAATACCCAACTCTTTCTCAGAGAGAGACACAAGCATAGAAAGTTTGTTTCGTTCCGACGGTTCGCTTTCCACCATTCGTTTCCACTCCTTGCGCACAACAAACGAATTGAGGTTGATTTGAGCGACCATCAGTGGAATGGTACCGTCTTGACGGCTCTTGCGTGTTGGAGGGACTTGCACCCTTGCCGGAGGATTGAGAGGTCTCGACGGCATGGGCGGGGCCGGGAACGGAGGTGGTCTTGGCGTTGCTAGCCATGGGTGTGCCATGGCTTGCTCGGCTGAAAGCCTGTTCGGTACGTCGCGTGTCAACAACTTCTCCACAAAATCACGAGCATCCTCGCTAATGACTACCCACTCCTCTCCGATCATGCGAAGCGGTCGACTTTTCACCTTCTTGATGAGCTGTACTAGATCGTCGTCATCAAAGGGAGGGTAACCAGTCAAAAGAATGTGGACAATTACGCCCAGGCTCCACATATCCGCTGCGCATCCATAGGGCTTCCTCAATAAAACCTCTGGGGCTACATATAAAGGAGTCCCCACCATATCGTGCGCTGGTGTAGTTTTGCAACGAGTATGCGCGATGCCGAAATCTGTCAGCTTCACGGTGGGATCTAAGGTCTCTGACGCATACAGGATATTCTCTGGCTTGACATCGCGATGTGCAATTCCGAGCTTGTGCAAGTGCGTGAGCGCGCGTGTGAGACCCCTCACTAGCGTGACGACATCATTCTCACAGTAGCGCGGGTAGAAATGCGTATCCGCGACTCTCGGTAGCATCTGTCCTCCGATGAGAAGTTCCATGACAATGTAAATGAAGCGGTCGTCTTCGAAAATCTGGATGCACTGGACAAGGTTTGGATGGTGGCCAAACAGCTGACATGAAACGACCTCCCTGCATGCCCCCTCCGGACAGAACAAGTCCGGGGCGCCCTTGGAAACAATTTTGATGGCGACCATGCCCTCACCCGCCTTTCCCTCTCCTAGTCGCACTTCTGAAAAAGCCCCTTCGCCGAGCTTGCCTTTGATGGTCCAATGCTTGTCGATAGGGCCTGCGCAATAGTAGGATCCTGCAGCCTCTTCGACCTTGCTGGGCAGGCCGACGGTACTCCAAGTATTCCGAAAAGACCTTGGAAACGAGCCGGCACCACCCAGCCCCATATCGCTATTGCTCCAGCGGCTTCGGTAGGCAGCGCCGACAAAGCCGTTGGTATCCTCGCCCAGGGAACCCGACGAAATTTCAGTGTTCCCATACGACTTGATGGACATAAAGGTGACGCGCAAAGCGGCGATTGGATTGCCTGCCCCAATGCCAGACTGCATGGAATCCGTCCTCATCAAGCCACTCCCCCCGAGT